AACAAATTTTCAACTTATATGTGAAAATGTATGGTATGTGGTAATTTTGCATAGAAGTCGGAGATAAGGCAGTCTTGGCAGTAGAACACTACATTTTTGCCTGTATTAATTCATTACAACCAATTTTTGCTACTTGCAGCACAAAATAATACTTTGATAGCAGAAAACGAGGCATACCATCGATGGGAGCTCATTGCATTATTTCCCAATCCTAAAGGGCTACTACCTCTTGCAAATACTGTACGAGAAGGAAAAATCTTCAGTTCTAAACAGGATGTGGAAAAACCTCTCGTGAGCATATCACTACATACCCATCACATTTTTTCACTACTGGAAACGAAAATATACTTTTATGATGGCAAAACTGCATTATAATCTGTTAGTTTAAAATAAGGACTCCAAGATCTCAGCAACCATATTTCATTGACAGTCATAATGTGTGTCATCACCATCATCATACAAAGGATATTATAGAATTTTAGCAAAATCAAAGGACTCAGCTACCTTCTGCAGCAATCATCACCATGGCTACAAGTCAGAAGGGCGAGGAAATGGCCTTGAAGTTTCATTAAGTTTATATTTAAGCATTCTAAAAAAGTAACAGATTTGGTTCTTAAATGAAATTAAGCTGTTCCATAGCATGCCCAAAGTTTTTTTAACTAAGGAAAAAGTATGAAGTAATTGAGATTAATTTTGAAAAATATTTTGAGAAAATCATTTTCAACATTTTGAATGCAAATAAATAATCAAATATTTTGCGGGCTTAATTAAGGCAAAGCATACAAGGGCTATCTGCCAGAGAAATAAATGCCTTTTTTTGTGAGGAAGTTTTGAGAGAAACTCACTCATATTTACTTATACAATGTATCATAAGACCAAAACTTACAACACATAAGAAAGTCAATCTTTTCATAATATAACAGGCTGGCAATAGTACCATAATACTGGATTAAAAAAAAGAACGGTTTAATCCTAGTATCCGGTGCACAAGGGATTTGGCTACTTTTGGTGACTTTATGATGAGCAGTAAATGGGACATATACTATGAGTAGTTAAATGGGTCATTTTGGTGTTGGCGATAATTTTCAAAATCGCGCCAAGGCAGCACCGTATACTAGGATTTTACCAAAAGAACTATTACATAGACAAGATTTATCACTTTTTCTGATATTCAAATTAATGTTCTCAAAAAAAAAATGTTTTTAAGTCTCTCTAGAAAGCAAATATTTTTATTCAAAAGTGTCAACTTATATTAATAAAGTAAGTACACAATCGCAATTATTTACTGATCTAGTCAGATGTTATATTACTTTATTTTTCATGTTCAGACTAATTTTTTTAAATTTTATCTAGAAAGCAAATACTTTTATTCATAAAAGGTTTACTTATACAAGTCTTTAATCCTGACGTCCATAATCTGGAATGATCTATAATCCGGACCTCAAAGCTACAAACTTTATGTGCATGCATTTACGCATACGTGTAAAGAGAAGAGATACTGTTTATAGAAGAACGAATTAAAGAGAAAGAATTAGCACAAAAAACGAAGCAATTTAAACAACTTACATTGAAAGAAATGTTTAATAAAGTAAACAAATAAATATTAAGCTTTTTTTTTTTTTTTTTTTTTTGTAAATTTTGATACCCTTTAGATCATAATTGCTCTTTATTTCATAAATTACGGTGGCTGATCTTTGGAATATGGTAACTGGTAGTTTGGCGACATTTTGGAGGCAATAAAGGTTATTACCTGGGACTTTGGTAATAATGTGAGAAGTAGTCAGTTCCGATTATGCATTATTTTGTGTGAGGGAAATGAGAGATCATGAGATATGTCATGTGACATTAATGGACGAATTACAGTTCTTTAATCGGAAAAGGGGGCAGGAATTTGGAAAACCGTAGTACTATATTATTTTGTATTAAGTACTTCATTGTGTGTTGTGTGAAATAGTGGTAGTGTGCGTGCCACGTAATGAAGATTCTGAAGATTAGGTAAGTTAGTATTTTTAATCATTTGAGGATATTATTATTATGCATTGTTCTAAATGTAAGGAGTAAATAAATTAATATGATGATATTGGAAAATTGTTATTAGCAATGATTTAGTTTAAAGTAATTAGGATTGTAATCTAATTTTTATTAATTTAATGTATGTGCTTATTTATATTTTAAGTAATGTTTTTTAATTTTAATGATATTTAATTTAATGATCGTGATTTTGTGAGTTATATGTTTGTAGTATTTTGGAATACGTTTGATTAGTATACGTTGAGTATTTTTCATGCATTTTCGTGAAATTTTTCTAATTTATGAGAAAAAAGCAGTGTACATGAATATAGTGAAGAGTGTGCGCAATGCCATTTTTGTTGCAATTCTGGGATTTTTTTTTTTAAGTAAAAATAAGTCGACGTGTACATGGTTTAGTGATATTTTAATTAAATGATAGTTATTTTGTGAATTTCCATATTGTAGGAATTTGGTATACGTTTCAGTTGAAGTAAACGTGCATGGAAGTAATTTAAATATTTGACACTGAGTATTTGTAACCATTTGTAATGTTTGCGGTATGAATTCGTTGGTGACGTTTATAATATAATAGATAATTTAGAGGTAAAAGTTTTTGGATATTTTATTTATTTTATACGTGGAAATGTTCATTTTTTAAAAGGGTATATACTTTTTGCGATCAGGTAATTTCATATATGTTCTTTTTACCGGATTTAAAGATTCACAAAATTTTCATGCATTTTCGTGAAATTTTTCTAATTTATGAGAAAAAAAGCAGTGTACATGGATATAGTGAAGAGTGTGCACAATGCCATTTTTGTGCAATTCTGGGATGTTTTTTAAAGTAAAAATAAGTCGACGTGTACATGGTTTAGTGATATTTTAATTAAATGATATTATTTTGTGAATTTTATGTTTGTAGGAATTTGGTATACGTTTCAGTTGAAGTAAACATGTATGAAAATAATTTAAATATTTGACACTAAGTATTTGTAGCCATTTGTAATGTTTGCGGTATGAATTTGTTAGTGACGTTTATAATATAATAGATAGGTAAAAGTTTTTGGATATTTTATTTATTTTATACGTGGAAATGTTCATCCTTGGAAAGGGTACATACTTTTTCGCGATCAGGTAATTTCATATATGTGCTTTTTACGGAGTTTAAAGATTCACAGAATTTTTTTGCATTTTCGTGCAAATTTTTGTAATTTATGAGAAAATAGAAGTGTAGATGGATAAAGTTAAGAGTGTGTGCAATGCCCGTTTATGTGCAATTCTGGGATGTTTTTTTAAGTAAAAATAAGTCGACGTGTAAATAGTTTATGTGTATGTGCTATTCTGAAAAACGCGCATGGAGTTTGCGTTTGTGCACTTTTTCCCAATTTTGCAGTTAATATTTGTCATGATTAAGCAGTTTTGTTACATAAAATTTCTAGCATAAGTGTAATTCGGCTAGTAGATTGTTGGAAAAAGTATTCAGTAAATAAAAAGAAAAGAAACATGTCTTTACTTTGTGAAGACAAAATGGCGGCAAAAAACAAAAAATAGAAGGTTGCTGTAGTATAGTTGGTCGCCAAAAAATCGCCAAGTTACCATAATCCAAAATCAACCATTACGGTTTCATATTTTTAATTGTATAATTTCTGCATGCCATCTTACCAGGTTTAAATTGATGATCTATAATCCGGAAAAACCCCTAATCCAGAATCGCCGAAGTCCCGACGAGTACGGATTACAAACTTTGCACTGTATTAATAAAGTAAGAATACAGAATAATCATCATTATTTACTAAACTAGTTAGAGGACACATTACTTTTTTTATATTTTATACAATTTAAACCGTTAACATAAAACTTCACCCCAATATAATACACTAGAATTTGTAATTTTAATTAACCTTTTTCCAATATTACACTTTTGATCCACTGATTTACACTTTGATGGAAATGTTTTTTAATGCATGCAACATAATTTTGGTACAACTCTGATATACACCCTAATTTTACCAAATGTGGCGATATGTCTTCTGCGTTGGTTTTTGGGGCAATTGCGTGTTGTATGGCAACCCTGTTGACGTTGAAAAATCTTTCGCTAGAGCTCGCTGGTCCGCATCATGCTCGTTGGTTTGTTGGTTCGCGTCTGTGTCTCGGAAGATAAAATGATGGAAGTTGTTGAATTGAAGTTCGGCAAAAGGAAATATCACTGTGGCCGTCCTATTGAAGGGGCAGTGGGTATTTGGAGGTGTGGGAAGAGGGTCTGGGAGATTATTTTTAGTGGCTGTGCATGATAGAAATAGGGATTTGTGAACCATAGTATGAATTTTCTAGATAGTGATTACCTGGCGGCATGTTAAAGGCAGTATGAAATTGATATTTCTGCTCTTCGAAAAAGCATTAATTCATGGTAAGTGCATTTTACTTTATTCTTGTTCTTATTTTGTAGAATGTTATATTCATTGATTTTTTAGTATGAATTTTGTCGTTATTGTTGTTTTTTAATTGTTTAGAATTTATTTTAGTTTATTTTGTTGATTAGTGTAATTCGTAAATGTTTTTTAAAGTTGAAGCAGAACGCTGTGTACATGGTATTCTTTAAAATTTATTGTTATGTTAATTTATGAAAGTGAGGTATGCGTAGTTTGTAAATTCGTTCGTTGCCTAAATTATGCAATTTGTAGATGTTTTTTTAAGTTTAAACAAGATGCTGTGTACATGGTATTCTTTGAAATTTATTGTTATGTTAATTTATTAAAGCGAGATGTGCGTAGTTTGTAGCCTAGATTGTGCCATTCGTAGATGTTTTTTTAAGTTAAAACATATCGCTGTGTAAATGGATTCTTGTCAAATATTTTTGGTTAGAAACTTTATGTTTTTGCTATCTAAAATTTTTGTTTTGGTTTCGGATTTTTAACTTAAATTGTGTGTTCGAAACGTCGTTTTTGAACTGCGTTTTTTGGAGACATTTTAGGCTTAAAGTTCAAAATGTAGACAAAAAATTTAGATAGTAATATGGCAGCGTGGAGGCAAGAAATTTGGCGACTTGAGGGCGCATATCAGAGTAGTTCCATAATTTTTAATAAGAACACATATTGGCTTAAAATACTTAATATAATCTCAGACACTGAGTTCTGTATGTAACTGGGAATGCTGAATAAGTTTATTCCTTGATCTGAAATTTTTTCCACATGCGATACACAAATTTGGTTTCTCCCCTGTGTGAGTAATTCTATGTTGAGTAAGAGTAGATTTCTGAATACACCTATAACCACAAATGTCACAAACATGAGGCCTGTCATCTGTATGAATCTTATAATGATCTGTTAAAACACCTTTTCGGCTAAATTTCTTGTTACAAATATTGCATTCATATAATTTTTCTTTTGTGTGTGTCACATAATGTGCTTTCAGGCTATCATTCCTCCCAAAAGCTCTATTGCAAATATCACAAGAAAAGGACTTTTCTTTTGTGTGTGTCTTATAATGTGCCTTTAGTCCATCTTTTCTTCCAAAACCTTTATTACAAACATCACAAATAAAAGCTTTGTCATTTGTATGTGTCATACAGTGTGCTGTAAGATTATTTTTCCTCTTAAAAGATTTGCTACAAATTTCACACACGTAAGGTTTTTCTCTGGTATGACTAATATAATGCCGTGAAAGTATTTTTTTTGTTTTGAAATGTTTTCCACATAAACTACACATATGAGGTTTTTCATCATTATGTACCAATACATGATTATTTAACTGAGCATTACTTAAAAATACTTGGCCACATAAGTTACAAGCATATGGTTTTTCTCCGGCATGAATCAGATAATGAGCTAGTAGATCACTCTGCCGTCTAAACTTTTTATCGCAAAGATCACATGCAAAATGTTTTATACCTGAAAGTATACTTGCATGTGTAAAATAATGTAACTTGAGACCACTTTTTCTCACAAAAGACTTATTACAAACATCACAAATATATAGTTTTTCTTCAGCATGAATACGAAAATGATTTGAAAGCGCACTTTTGAAAACATAACTCTTTCCACACACAGTACATACATGTGGCTTTTCACCTGTATGGGAGATAAGATGAGCCTTACAATCTCTTAGCCTTTTAAATTTTTTATTACATACTTCACATTCATGAAGCTTTTTTTTGCCCTGAACATTACAATCATGATTAGAAAGCATATCACTTTCTCTAAATCTACAACCACAAATATTACACATATAAGGACTTGCTTCCGGACCTATGTGAAGATGTTCAATTTTCTCTTTGAATTTGTAGTCATAGACTTCATGTATATTAGGCTTTTCTTGAATATCAGCCATAGGGGAACACACACTGTCATTTTGCTCAAACTCCATGTCAAACAAAGGATAAAATTTTTGTATTCATTAGTTACTCAATGTATGTGTCACTTATGTATATATTGTATATGAATTTTGCATATTTTTGCTAAATGTTGCATATGGCATCTAACCATGTTAGCAAAATAATACAAGTATATTAAACTGTGGTACGTATAATGAAAAATATGAATATGTCATACGATGAAAGACACAGAAAATTTTTCAATGATACACAGAACTTTTCGTAATCATGATCATTCACTGCTTGGAAAATCAATAATAAACATATTAAAATTCTTTAGGTTCAAAAACTGAATCCACTTAAATAAAAAAATATAAGCATGTCATTACCTTTTGTTCTAACATTAAAATTTGCATCTACGCTCATATAAACACATGTCAGCCATATATTTTCAGTTTCTCCAGACACGCATTAGTACAAATTATATTTTTAAATATGTTAATAGGCTTTGAGTTTCAGTACATTATATAAATATATTGATATTCTGAAACTTTTAAACATTCCTTCAGTGCTGTTTTACGCATGCACATGAATTTGCAGTTTAAACAATATTCAAATTTCCATATATTTACAGATAACGTTTATTTCCAGCAGCCACTCACAACAGAATATTTGGATTGTGCGCAAATCTTTTGGCCTACTGATGAAAATGGCTCAATCAGATTTTTTTTTTTTTTTTTTTTTAAATTTAACTTTTAACAGCTCTCTTTTACTGTCTTTGCTTACACTAGTGTTCATTACGTTAGAAATTAGAAACTGTGCACTTTTTTTATTCATACTGCACGTAGACGTTATACACCTAATATTACAGTTTTACGATCAACTGAGTCTGTGACAGAACATGTGATAATTTTTTAACACTGCGAATCTGGCATCAAGGAAATGTATTTACTTCTGACCGCAAAACCTTCAGCGATTTATGAGGTAAAAATTCACTGGAATTTTCGCTGTACATCGAGGATGTTGTCAGTGTGACATACCTATCGTTGTCTTTGGAAAAAAAAAAGGCAGTTTATCGAAGAACAGGCTTTATAACTAGAAAAAAACATTCTAGTTGTATGTTTTGTTTCAAGATACTCATATAAATTTTTTATTTTATTAGTACGTTGGATTTCTGAGAGACTCACATCTTCATAAAAAATAAGAACTATGTGATGTATGCTATAAGAAATGCTCTAAAAGAAACGATACCAGTTTGAACAGTATTAAATAAGGCACACCATATTCAGGCAGGAAATGTTTTATCCTTCTATAATGGAGTCAAAACAAAATGCTAATGTGTATTCTGATGTGAATAATAAAATCGGTAAACCTCTTGATATGATAGGTGTTACAGAAAATCGTCATACTAATGTAGGTTCTAATATAAATAATGTAGAAAGACCCTATGCTTGTGACGTATGTGGTAAACGGTTTAGAGTAAAAAACTGTCTTACTCAGCATTTGCACATTCATACCGGAGAAAAGCCTTATGTATGTAATATCTGTGGAAGATGTTTTAGGGAAAGCTGCATGCTTTACAATCATCGCCGTAATATTCATACAGTAGAAAAGCCTTATGACTGTGATATATGTAATAAAAAGTTCAAAAGAAAGGCAAATCTTGATTCCCATCTTCTTACACACAAAGGTGAAAAGCCTCATATATGCTCTCTTTGTGGAAAAGGTTTCACTTTTAAAGGTTCACTTTTAATTCATTATCGCATTCATACTGGAGAAAGACCATATGTATGTGATATTTGTAACAAGTCCTTTATTAAAAAAAGTTACCTCAGAGTGCATTGTTTTACACATTCAAAAGAAAAGCCTTTTACATGCAATCTTTGTAATGTACGCTTCACCCGGCCAACTGATTTGGCAAATCATTATCCGATTCATGCAGGAGAAAAGCCATATGTTTGTGATACCTGTGGTCAAAGTTTCTTGAGGAAATCACAGCTGACTAGTCATGTATTGGTGCATACAGGAGAGAAACCTTATCCGTGTAATGTGTGTGGTAAATGTTTTAAATCCAAAAGAATACTTAACAAGCATTATATTAGTCATACTAGAATAAAGCCTTATACATGTGAAATTTGTAACAAATCCTTTAAAAGGAAAGATAGTCTCAAAGCCCATTGTTTAACACATACAAATGACAAATCTTTTTTATGTGATATTTGTAATAAATCTTTTGCAAGGAAAGATGCACTGAAAGCACATAATTTGACACATACAAAGCAGAAACCTTTTGTATGTAATATTTGCAATAAAGCATTTGGCAGGAAAAGTATCCTGATGGCTCATCACTTAACGCACACAAAGGAAAAGCCATATACTTGTAACATTTGTAATAAAAGGTTTTGCCGCAAAGGTGTTCTTACGGATCACTATAAGATCCACTCAGGAGACAGGCCTCATGTTTGTGATATATGTGGTAGCAAATTTATTCAGAAATCAACTCTTACTCAACATCGATTCATTCACACAGGCGAGAAACCAAACTTATGTAAAATATGTGGGAAAAACTTCAGATCGAGAAATAAACTTGTTCAGCATTCACAAGTGCATGTGGAAGAAAAGTCTAATACCCAAATAAATTCAAGCTAATTAATTATTCTCAGTGAATGTATGCAATCAGTGATGCAGTGTATTTGTATAAAAATATTAATATTTCATCTTTTTGTTATTACGTATGATGGTATCTTAAGACAAATTTGTAAATTGCTGTAATTTGAAAAAAAATATATATATATATATACAGTACAAAATCCGTAATCCGAACTCATCAGGACTTCGGCGATTCCAAATTAGAAGTTTTTCCGGGTAATAGGTCATCAATTTAAATCTGGTAAGGTGGCATGCAGAAATTATACAATTAAAAATATGAAACCATAATTTATGAAATAAAAGAGCAATTGTGATCTAAAGGGTATCAAAATTTACCCAAAAAAAAGCTTAATATTTATTTGTGAACTTCATTAAACATTTCTTTCAATGTAAGTTGTATAAGTTGCTTCGTTTTATGTGCTAATACTTTCTCTTTAGTTCTATAAACAGACATAATTTCTTGTTCAGTTACAAAGTTCCACTATTCAAGTCCTGTAATTGCTGTGTTGAGCATACCGACTAAATTGTCAATCGAAATTTTTTCATTTTCAATAACCTCTCTGTAACTTTCTTCACTATCGGAAGCGTGCATGGGTAAACACTTTAAGCGCATGCGTAGCAGACGCGCGCATTAAACGCACATTCATAAGTTTGTGCCTTTGAGGTCTGGATTATAGATAATTCCGAATAATGGATGTCCGAATTACAGACTTTGTACTTTAATGATATTACAGCCAAGGAGATGATACGCTGAGATATACACTAAATCATAAAATCTCAACTTTTATGTTTTTTACAGAAATGTTTGAACTTAATTTATACATTAATACTTATCTAATAAGCTTTTTTAAAATGCATTTTATATTCGAATATATAATTATTTTTATTCTTAAAAAAATCAGCATCTTCATAATTATTATACAGGGTGTGGCAGAGAAACTACCTTATTTTAAAAATGAATAACAAACATTATAAGCGATATCAGTCTAATATTTTTTTCGGAACTACTCTGATATGCGCCCTCAAGTCGCCAAATTTCTCGCCAAAAATTTTTGGCGAGAAACTTCACGCTGCCATATTACTATGTAAATTTTTTTTCTATATTTCGAACTTTAAGCCTAAAATGTCTCCAAAAACGCGGTTTTCGCACATGCAAAAACTACGTTTTAAACACACGATTTAAGCTAAAAATCAAAAAAAAAAAAAAAAATTAGATAGCAAAAATGTAAAGTTTCTAACCAAAATATTTGACAAGAATCCATGTACACAGCGACATGTTTTAACTTAAAAAAAAACATCTACGAATGGCGCAATGTAGGCAACGAACTCGCACACCTCGCTTTAATAAATTAACATAACAACAATGAATTTCAAAGAATACCATGTACATAGCATCCTGTTTAAACTTAAAAAAACATCTACGAATAGCGCAAAATTTCAAATGATACCCATGTACACAGCATTCTGTTTCAAAAACAACAATAACGACAGAAATTCATACTAAATAACCAATGAACGTAACATTCTACAAAATAAGAACAAGAATAAAATAAAATTCACTTACCATGAATTAATGCTTCTTCGAGCAGCAGATACACTAATTTCATACTGCCTTTAACATGCCGCCACGTAATCACTATCGTATTTACATGACAACCAGACACACTTCAGAAAATTCATACTATGGTTTACAAATAAATAAAATCACAAATCCCTACTTCTATTATGCGCAGCCATTAAAAATAATCTCCCAGACCCTCTTTCCACACTTCCAAATACCCACTACCCCTCAAAAGGATGGCCATAATGATATTTCCTTTTGCCGAACTTCAATTCAACAACTTCTACCATTTTATCTTTCCCTCCCATCTTCTCAGACACAGACGCGAATCACGAGCTTCAGCGAAAGATTGTTCAACGTCAACAGGGTTGCCATAGAAAACGTAATCCCGCCAATAACCAGCGCAGAACATATATTGCCACATTTGGTAAAATTAGGGCGTATATCAGAGTTGTACCTTTTTTTCAAGTTATAGAGAGACACTTAAAGTTTTTTTTATTATTATTATGGTTTAAAAATAATATTAAGGTGGCCTCCGTTTTGGTCAATGCATTGAGATAGTCGAATTTTGAAATTTCTTTCTACTCTTATAACAGGAATGTTGTCCATAGCAGCTTCAATATTGTTCTTCAGTTGAGCCAGAGTCTTTAGACAATAGAGATTTCAGATAGCCAAACAAAAAAAATCATATGGGGCTAAATCAGGCGAGCACACTGGCCACTGAAGATCGTCCCATAAGGAGATGAGGCGTCCAGGAAAATGCTCTTCAAAAGACCATGGTCCAATGATGCCTATTCTGGACAATGCACACCAAACAGTCACATGTTCTTTATGGAGGGGCTGCTCAGGGATTCATGCCACTCCAGTATCGCATCTGTTTTGTTTATTCACACAACCAGAAAGGAGAAAATGAGCCTCATCGCTAAAGAACACTAGGGCATCATGAGGCATATTGTCAAGAACAGTTTCGTATGCATTTTTTCGTGAAAGAAAATCGCATGGATTAAGTTTTTGCACAACTGCAAATTTATATGGACGAAAATGCAGTACATTGAAAAGTACGACTCCACGACGTACATGCGCTCCTGTCTTGTCTACTGCATGATCGTTCTAAACCTACATTACAAAAAACTTTAGACACTGCTCTTTTCAATGAGCACCACCCCACCCTTTTCAGAATAAATGTCACTAGATAGCGCACGTTTCAAATAAGGAAGTTCCCCAGCTGCACCCTGTACAAATTTTAAAATACAATTTCAACTTTTGTAATTGTTGAACATAAACTGTTTAATTATGCAAACTATATGCAATTGGACTATTTTATCAATGCTGCTGGAATGATTGCTCTGTTTGTTAATAAAATCAGTTTGTTAATAAAAAAAAAAATCTTAAGTACAAATTGAACGTTTACACCTATTGTAAGTACATAATTATGAATATGATTTCTTTCCATATTTATATAATGTATTGATTATTTAATTTCGCTTAATAATGGAACCAATCAAATAAACACAACTAAAAAATCATAAAAAACAAGTGCAATTAAAACTCTGTTATGTCATATTCATGATAAGTAAATACAACATACTACACTAAAAATATTCATGATTTTATACATATTTCAAAAAGTGTTTAATCGCAACTTAGCCTGAATATTAGATGACCTTTACTTTAAGTGCTTTACAGGAGAAGCACATAAAATCAAAGAGAAATTAAAAGCCTCGCACCAAAATCATCTTACATACCTAAGCTTGATATACTGAAAATGTACTGCAAGAATATAGTTAAATGGTGTAAATACTATATTTTAATGTAAAACTATATATTGTCTTCTTTTTTTATGTAAAAGTTAAATTATGCTCTATCTATATATATATATATATATATATATATATATTTACTGTTAGGCTGTGCATTTAAGATAGATATGGTTTTGAAATTATATTTTATGAAAAAAAAAAAAGTAGTTTTATGTTTGAGCCAATAAGATATACCCATGAACTTGCCATTATCTTTAAAACAATGAAAGAATTAAATGTTAATATCTACTTCATTCCAGCTACAAATATAGATTAAATGTTAATGAGTGTTCAATGAAAAAAAATCAATTACTAACCTCATTTCCAACCTAAAAGAATTTAATGTCAGCCTTTTACAGAAAAAGGGCTAAGGAAGGGCTCTGATATTTAAATAATTACCTTGTAACTGCCAGTCATATTCAAAATAAAGCATTAGAAACTCATTAAAATAGGACTGAAATTAACATGTCAAGTAAACCTTTTGCAGTAAAAATCACTGTTCAAATACACAGTAAAAATGTATTCCAGGAAAAATTTAATGTGGTAAAAAACATACTGGAATGACACTAATTGTTTATCAATATTGAACAAAAATCTGCTCAAGTACAATTTTTTTCATCTTTAGTCCTTTGATATGACCTGTAAAATTTTAAAAATGCAAAAAAGAGCCATAATGTAAATATACATGAGACATGAAGCTTAAAGGCCCGCTCTTAAAGTATGATCTGACAAACTAATTATATACAATCAAATCTGGAGCTTTGTTGTATTATGGTCACATTAAATTATTTAAAACAGTAATTTTCAAGTGGTTGGTAAAAATTTGCATCATGTAAAATAAACAGTTATTTGCCATATTGAATTACATTAAAATCAACAACGTCAAAAATAACTTCTTTGGAAGTATTCTTATATTACATATGTTGCTGGAAAGCAGCCTGTAATTTTAATTTAAAAAGTTCCATTATGAATTAACATGTTGACTGCCACGTGCATTTTACGTGGTTTGCCCATGAAGCTAACTTGAAATTTTTATTATGCGGTATATATTATGTTGAAATATTATCTACAGAAGAAAATGTGAGTTATATAATCGTGCTTAATGTATTTTTCACGGTGGGGGTCACCGCTCTGTAGACCATTATTGCAATTTATAATTAAAATTTTTACGATTTATTATTCTTCAAACCATTATAGTAACAATGGTACTATTTAAAAATTTATCAGTATTGATATTTACTCTAATTATGTATTTTACTTTTGGTCATGTCGCCGGTCACTGGTGGCACTTACGGTGCTGTAGCCAAGTCGTAGTCAATGTATTAACCAAAATCAGTTTCTTTATATAAATAAATCTATAGAGATAAGATTTTTATTCATGGGTATCATATTAATATGCATTTATTCTATAATTATTGAACAAATATTGCAAGCCTGTATTCTGAAAAATATATGAGTTTAAAATGGAAAATAACTTTGGTATTAATGCAATAATGCAAACAAAGTTCAACTGCTTACAAAAGGAAAACAACTTTTTTTTCCATGTTTTAAAGTAATCTCAAAACTTAGACCATGCTACCACCACTGGCATGTTTCACCATAGGTACAAGATTTTTTGGTACTATTCCGTTTTGAGGATTGTAAAAAATTGAAGCAAAAATGTACGTGCAAAAGTGCCAAATCTAGCAAACGCGCCCATTTAACAGTG